GTGGAGCCCTTGGCTGGTGACAACGTCCCCCCTGAGGAAGCCCCACAGCCAATGCTCTCTGTTGACCAAGCGTCCAGCTCCACGAGCCTTGGAAGCTACTTCAGATCCGAGCTAGAAGACAGCAGGCCCCTTTAAATCTTTTCTTGCTCTCTTTCCTGTCTTCTCCCCACTGTTCCCTCTCCAGTCCTAAAATGGTTGAGACGGTCTCCCAGGTGAGGAACACCGTGGTTTACTGATGGGCAATGGTCTTGGCAGATTCGAAAATACCCCAAAGTCGTTTTCCACATCACCCTGCCCTCAGATTTCCCCTCTTCTGACTTTTCAGTGTCAGAAATGGGAGCCTTGTTATAAAATGAGGCCTGAGATTGGGGGAGACTTTTTTCTGCTGACCGCACCGAGCATAGCAAAGCACAGTGATTACTAGCTGCTAGAGTTTACTAGGTGGTAGGAAGCAGTGGCCGGGGAAGTGGGGAGCCGAGGCGTTTCTTATCAGCGTGACCAGTTTTGACGGAGGGAGGGAAGGTTTGTGCTTTAAGGGTAGATAGAGTCTACCACAGTGGGGAAGGCACAGTGAAAGAGCATGAGGTGGCTCGTCACATTCTGTCCACAGTCCACAGCTGAGACTGGGCAGGACACAGGGCCATGCTACCAAACATAAAAGTCCATCTCCAATGGTTCACTTCCTCTGGCAAGGCTCTATCCACTTCCTAAAGGTTCCACAGTTTTCCAGAATAACAAAACCAACTAGGGGCCAAGTGATCAAACACATGAACCTGCAGAAGACACTTAACAGTCAAAACCACCATTTGGGGAAGCAGGTATGATGGTTTGAATCAGAACTATCCCCCACAGTCTCAGGCATTTGAGATCTTGATTCCCAGTTGGTGTTGCTCTTTCAGGAGGGCTGTGTGGCCTCTCTGGAGGAAGTGTGTCTCTGGGGGCAAGCATTGAGACTGGGCACAGACTTCTGGTTTGCTCTGTGTCGGGCCTGTGGCTGAAGATATGAGGTCTAAGTTTTCTCTTCCTGGCTGCTAGGACTGATGCCTGCTGCCAGACTGTCCCTGCCATCAGGGACTCAAGGAGCCCTACACCAAAATAAATTCATTCTTCTGGAAGTTGCCTTGGCAACATGCTACATCAAAAAGATCACATAGATCTATTTATTTCTGCAATTGTATGCCACATAAAAAGTCTCAGAGCTTTGTCAAGTATGGTGGTTCATACTTGCAGATCCCAAACGGAGGCTGAAGATGACAGTCCCCAGGGCAGCCTGGACTGTTGTGCAAAATCCTGTGTTGATTTATTTTTGAGCTTTTATTATGTGCTTAGTATTTGAATCTAAGGATCCAAAGATCGATTAGCCCGACACTCTCAGGGCTTGCCACCTAGGTGAAAACCTAAGTAGCCAAGCAGAGGGGAGTTTTCTGAGTGCTGTTTGGAGGAACAGAAAGTAGAGCCAGGAAGCCAGGGTGGTGACCAAATTGGGTCTGTTTGACCCTGAAGCCAACATTATTCGTTCAGTAGTGTGTGTGTGTGTGTGTGTGTGTGTGTGTGTGTAGACAGAGAAAGAAATGAAACAAAGAGACCCAGAACAACAGACAGAGACACTTTCCAGTGTTAGTCTGGCCCATAACCTCTCTGTCTAAGAGAGTGGAAGGTGTTTTTCATGGGAAGCATAGTTAATCTCACATCTTGATATCAGGCATCCTACAAAGGTGGAGAGCTTTCCTTGAATCAAATCGTTATCCTGATGCCCCATCTCCTTTCCAGCCTAGAGTACTTATATCCAGAACCAGAACCCATCATCCATCTTTTATTCAGTTTTGTTTTTTGAGACAGGGTTTCTTTGTAGACCAGGCTGGCCTTGAACTCACGTAGATCTACCTGCTGGCACAAAAGGCACGCCACCACTCCCTGACTGCCATGTGCCTCTGCTATATCCCACAGAAATCAGCTCAAATATCAGTTGCCTGATGTGGGAGCCCCCTCTGTGTGCTGTGATTACTATTAGTGAATAAAGAAACTGCTTTGGACCTATAGCAAGGCAGAACTTACGTAGGCAGGGAAAGCTAGGCTGAATGCTGGGAGAAAAGAGGCAGAGTCAGGGAGATGCCATGGAGCTGCTGCCATAGTCAGACATGCCGAAACTTTGCCGGTAAGCCACTGCCACGTGGCGATACACAGATTAATAGAAATGGGTTAAATTAATATGTAAGAGTTAGCCAATAAGAAGCTAGAGCTAATGGGCTAAGCAGTGATTTAATTAATAGTTTCTGTGTGACTATTTCGGGTCTAAGCTAGCCAGGCGCCTGGGAATCAGCAAGTACCCTACTCCAACAATTATCCTGAGAGCCTTTTTCTTTAGAAGGTCTATATGGTGTCCCCTCTGAAGTTATGCCTGCATTAGATTTTTCAGTGCCTGTCATAATGAAAGGACACCACCCATCCATCCGAGGCTCCTTCTCTGGACTCCAGACCCTGTTTTGTAGTTTATTTCTGACAGTCGGTCATAAGAACTTGACGTTCCAGGATCTCCTTTCTGTCTTTCATGTGTCAGTACCCTAAAGTCTTGGGTTCCCTGACGCTCTCTGTAGTTCAGGCAGGGGCAAGAAGCAGAACCGGCACACGGAAGGCAGCTGGAGTTCTTTCCTGGCTAGGCTCAGACCATTCTACCTTCAAAATGGGCTCTGTAACTCCCCTGCTCCCCAGGCTTATTGAATTGCCTAAGGGTTTTGATGTTAGCAGAGCAAACGAGGCCAGAACAAACTGGAGAAGAGAACGCCCAGTGCATACATAGGAGCATTGCTGAGCTGCCTGGAAGGGGCTGGACAGAAAGCCCCTCCCCGCCCCCTCCCGGCTCCCTCCCCGCTCCCTCCCTACCCCCTTCATACCTGCCCCCCCCAGTAGCTTGAGAGCAGATCCCTGCTGGGGAGCTCTCAGCTGAGAGTGTCCAGTGTCCTCAGCTTCTCAGTGTGTCACAGGGGTCCCTGGCTGGGTGGGAGCACTGCAGGAAGACCCAGCAAAGCCACGGGGCCCTCCCCATTTAACAGAAAATATTGATCTTGTTAGATTTTATCTATTTTTAAAAGATTTTTATATCTTACGTCCAAGTGTTTTCCCTGTGTCTATGTTTGAGCACCACGTGTGTGCCTGGTACCTGAAGAGGGCATCCAACTCCTTGGTACCAGAGTTACGGATGACTGTGAGCCTCCCTGTGGGTGCTGGGGGTTGAACCCAAGGTCCTCTGTAAGAGCAGCCAGTGCTCTTAATGGCAACTCTCCAGCCCCCTGACTTGGTAGGTTTTAGACAGTTCTACGCTGAGTTCACCCTGAAAAGAATGACAGCCATGTGAAGGACTAATAGGACTTTTTCCTCCCACATCGAGTTTGCTTTCTCTTTAAAGTGTTCAGAACGCGCGGAGAAGCACACACTTCAATTACCCCTTTCGCTTCTCTGGCAGCCCCAGGTGGTGCTTTGGTCCTTGCTACTCGGAGGTGGAGGCCAAGAGATGCTTGAGCCAGGAGTCTGAGGGTAACCTGGGCAACACACCAAGACTCCATTTCAAAACTAAAATGATATTTTAAAAATTTCATTTCGGAAGCCAGGCAGTGGTGGCACACACCTTTAATCCTAGGACTCGAGGAGGTGGAGGCAGGAGGATCTTTGTGAGTTCAAAACTAGCCTGGTCTACAGAGCAGGTTCTACAGGGCTACCCAGAGAAACCGTGTCTCAAAAAACTAAAACAAAACAAAAAATAACTCAATTTAGGGTTTGGAGAGATGTCTGGGTAATGAAAAGCACCCACATCAGGCAGCCTTACCACCTGTTCACCTCCAGGGCCTCTCACGCCCTCTTCTGGCCTCTCCTAGGCACTGAACCATATGCGCACACACACCCCCACTCACGTGTGCATAGTTAAAAATAAAATCTTCGAGACCAGCCTGGTCTACAGAGCTAGTTCCAGGACAGGCTCCAAAGCCATAGAGAAACCCTGTCTCGAAAAACCAAAAAAAAAAAAAAAAAAAAAATCATTATTATTTTTTGTTACCGGGTCCAACTTGCTATGTAGCCAAGACTGACCTTGAACTCTGGATCCTTTTGCCTCCACTTCCCAAGCGCTGGAAGTTAAGGTGCTTTTCTATATCAGTTTAAAAAGGAGTTAAGTCATTTGAAAATAAAATCAGATATTTCCTAGGGAACCCCATTAGTTCCCTAGGAAAACAACTCTGACTTCAAACAGCTCAGTTTTCATTGTAAGAAGAGAGATTCCCCAAGTGACACTTGTCTTAACAGGGCAGGCGATGGATGCCACAGTCACAATGAACCTGTTGGGACATTTGAGGGCAGACGGCAGGACTAAGGAAAAGACACCCTTCTCTATTGTAGGCTTCAGGGTAGATTCAGTGATTCATTAGTTTGATTTTATTCCTTTTAAGCAGCTACAGCATATGGGCCACTGTGAGTCATTCTTTTTTTCTTTGAGTACAACTAGTTGGGAAAACATATCTTAGTCTGCCCCTCCCCCCAAAGGTTTGAGGGTCGGAAATGCAGGTGATTATCAAGGACTGCCTTTGATACCAACATCCTTCTCTCCCGGGAGTCCTTTGAACTGACTTTGATATGCATGCGATAATTAAGAGGGATTCCTGCCTGGAGGAGCAGCCGCTATGGCCCTGCCTCTGGTCTCCTTCCACTGAGTCCTTGTTTTGAACTATTGATCAAAGATTTGAAGGGATCTGTTGTAGCCTGTGTGGGGTAAAAAGGAAGGAAACGAGTGGGCTGGAAGGGAGAAGAGGGGCCGCATCTGGCTATAAATAGTTTCGGAAAAGCGTGCTGGTCAGACCCGGCCTGTCTCATTTAGCACACAGTCCTTGGGCAGAATCGCTTCTCTTTCAGAAAAGGCCGCTCCGCTCCCCGGCGAGGCGACTTGCCGATTGCTCCCAGCGACTTGCAGATAGCTCGGCAGGACCACTCAGCTCCGGGTTTGCAGCAACCCAGCCTCAGAAGACGCAAGGGGTATACTGGGAACTTCCGAGAGACCTGAGTGACTGAAGGATGGTACTGGTGGCCTTGCTTGGACTCAGCTGGTTCTGTTCACCCCTGGGAGCGCTGGTTCTGGATTTCAACAACATCAAGAGCTCTACTGATGTGCAAGGCACTGGGAAGGTAAGTTCAGCTAGAGTAAGGCAGCACTGAGACCCGCAGTAACGATGACGTGTGTCAGGCAGGACACCCTCACCTCTAGGTTAACTGAGCTTGTACATGAAACCCAGTTCTCCTGCCATCCCATCACTCGGGAGGCAGGGAAGGCAGAATAAGGAGCTGACAGCGAGTCAGAGGCCACCATAAATTGCAGACGAAATCTTTCAAAAAGCCAGGGAAAACGGCCGTAGAGCAGTTTTCAGGCCAGGGCTCCGACTTTGCCTACCAGTCAGTGTCTAATGAAAGCGGTGCCGCGGGCTAGGCCTTTGCGGTCAGTCAGTGTCTAAGGAAAGCGGTACTGCGGGCTAGGCCTTTGCGGTCATTTGCCTTCCTCACATCTCGAGACAGGCACAGCTTCCTATTTAGCAATGAAGAAGGCAGGAATTCGGACCAAGGCTACACAGCATGTATGTAGGAATTAGGGCTTAAACACATCAGGACACGACACATTATTGCAATAGTCTACTTTTGAGGAGCCATTATCATTTGTGTATACTATACATCACACTCTATTCTATGTGGTGTGCACACTGCATACAGAATGAAGGATAGTTGGGGAGGAGCTGGTGTAGTGACAAGCAGACTCAAAATTATATCTGTCATCTCTAAGACACACAGGGAAAACTGATTTTCCAGGAGACTATAAAAACATTAAATTCTGAGTTTTGAAGTAAAACGGGTTGGAGGTTGGCTGGTCCATAATTGATTAAAGACAAGTTTTCAAACGCAAGCAACCAAGGTCTTCTCATGGGGAATTTAATGTATTCTTTTTTGGGAGAAAATCAATCATGGTGAAAAATAGAGATGGTGCCCAAAGCTTGCCACAATATCTCAACGGCCCCCCTCCCACTCCACCCCAGCCCATGTGTTGGCTACAGACCTCTTCTGTCTCACTGGATTTCCCAGCCCGTGACAAGCTTGTCTTTGCAGGGCTCACAGTGTGCATTAGACAAGGACTGCAGTGCAGGAAAATTCTGCTTCATGCTGCACGACGACAGGTCGCTCTGTGCCACGTGCCGCAGAGCTCGGAGGAGGTGCCAGAGGAGCGCCATGTGCTGCCCGGGAACCGTCTGTGTGAATGGTGAGTGACCCGGGGCTCCAAGCTGTGGGGGCTGCCATCCGAAGGCACCGTGGGAGTCACACAGGCTAAGACAGTTCGCGGGAGACAGGCCCTAGGGTGTTGTTGGGTCTGGATGGAGGAGATCGGTGCAGCTGTCTGTGTTGAGGAAACAAATTATTACCTGTCAACACCTTTTACCAGTGACATGGGTAAAATGATTCTGAAGGAGAGAGAGTCAAAGTAGGCTGGTTTGGATCTTCCCATTTACACTTGGATCTTTATTAATTATTTGCTGTATGTGAGCATGTAAGCATGGTTACATATATATATGTGTGTGTGTGTGTATGTGTGAGACATAATTTATGCATCAGAAATATAAAATATAAGGTAGGAGAGCTACAAATCCTTTAGCAATACAGTAACTGCACACCTGTACGTGTCTCTTAGTAACACTGACTAAAGCTGTCTACCCCCCAGATGTTTGCACTGCTGTGGAAGACACAAGGCCAGTAATGGGCAGAAACACTGACGACCAAGATGGCACCGATGCAGAAGGAACCGCCAAACGGCCCACAGAGGAAAACAGACCTCAGGGGAAGCCCAGTGTTAAGAAATCACAGAGCAGTAAAGGTAAGGACATCATTCTGAGCACATTTTATTTGAAAAACAATTTTCTTGCTCCCAGCCTCACAGGCTGACACTAACTTCCTTCTCCATGTCTGTGAACTCTTGGAACAACTCAAGAGGCTCCCCTGGCTAGGCCAGGACAAGACCCTTGTAATAAGTGCTTAGGAAAAAATTTTTTCCAGTGTTCAATTACACACACGCATCTGTGCACACACACACACACACACACACACACACACACACACACACCCTTTCACGATGCTGGGGTGTAACAAGTGCCATTTCCCCTTTCTCTAGCCTCAGCATACACAGATCAAACCTTGTACAAAATACAAAATGGATTTTTGTTGTTATTTGGAGTCAGGGTCTATGCAGCCCTAGCTGCCCTGGAACTCACTATATATCAGAGCGCTAACGGCCTCTGCTGGGATTAAAGGGATTTTCTACCACACTTGATTGAAAGAATTTTTTTTTAAACAAAATTTGAGTACCAAATGACAGTCTTTGAGATCACAGAATATTTGAAAGTGAAGTGGTAAAATGGCCTTCCCTGCCTATGTCATTGGGTTAGCTGTCCCATACATTACATATACACTAAAAATTACATTAGCAAAACTTTGTGGAATGTTACCTATTTCTCAGGCCTGGAAATCCCTTCTTTCCTTCTCTTCCTTTTGTAATTTTGAGACATGGTTGCTCTGTGTAGCTCTGGCTGTCCTGGAACTCACTCTGTAGACCAGGCTGGCCTCAAACTCACAGAGATCCTCCTGCCTCTGCCTCCCGAGTGCTGGGATTTAAGACATGCATCACCAATGTCAGCTCCTTCTTTTCTTGATGTCTTGACTTAAATAAGACAAACAATAAACCCTATTAGGAAGGGCTAGAATTTTCCTTCATTGTGTGAGACCCATGGGTCCTGTTGGCTGCTGCTATCTTTAGGTTGTAGCCTTCATTCCTAGATCCATTAGAACAACGCACACCCCCTTAACTCTTCTGCTGCCACAAGCAATGCTGCCCACCTGCCACTAAAGCCACGTCTAACTTGTTACAGGACAGGAGGGAGAAAGCTGTCTGAGAACTTCCGACTGTGACCCTGGACTTTGCTGTGCTCGCCATTTTTGGACAAAAATTTGCAAGCCGGTTCTACTCGAGGGGCAGGTCTGCTCCAGGAGAGGGCAGAAGGACGCTGCCCAAGCCCCCGAAATCTTTCAGCGCTGTGACTGCGGTCCTGGACTAGTGTGTCGAAGTCAGGTGACTGGAAACCAGCAACAGACACGGCTAAGAGTATGCCAGAGAATATGACTGTAACACGGCTGTAAACACGGGACTCACAGCCAGGCACTAATTTTATTATTGTTATTTTTTTATTTTGTTTTTTTTTTGAGACGGAGCTTCATTGTGTAGCCCCGGCTGGGCTGGAACTTGCTGTCAACCTGGCTATCTTGAACTCATAGAGATCCGCCTGCTTCTGCCTTTTGGGTACTTCTTCAGGTAGAGGGAGGAGTTTTCAGACAGGGTTTCAAAGTCAGCTATGCAGCCTCAAACTCACTGTCTTCTTACCTCAAGCTCCAGGTTGGGATAACCGACGAGCACTATACCCAGCATAAATATAGAACCAAACCTAGCAACTGAAATACACAGTAACCAGAGTACTACGAGATGCTTTTTGTCTCCTGTCTAGAATACTGACATGATTCTACAATAAAACAATTCTGATACAGCCAATTCAATCTGTCCAAATAAATCTTTCCTAAAAATTGAAATCGTATGTGGGTGTACCATGTGATCTTTGATATACAGTGACCTGCCTAGCAGACAAATATGAATGTGCCCATCCCATAAGTCACGTGTCATTTCAGGTGAGGGGCTGCTACTTCCAAGATAAAGCGCACGCCTGTTCTTCTAGCTATTAGTATGTATTGCAAGCAGAAAACGGGTCAAAGAAAAAAGTTACATTAATGAAGTCACCTCATTTTTTTTCTTTTCTATCTTTTTTTAAAAATATTTATTGTGTATACAATGTTCTGTCTGTGTGTGTCTGCAGGCCAGAAGAGTGCACCAGACCCATTACAGATGGTTGTGAGCCACCATGTGGTTGCTGGGAATTGAACTCAGGACCTGTGGAAGAGCAGGCAATGCTCTTAACCGCTGAGCCATCTCTCCAGCCCTTTTCTATCTTTAGACAGGGTCTCACTATGCAGCCCTGGTGGGCTGGTGTTCTGGAACTCACTCTGTAGAGTAGACTGGTTTTGAACTCAGAGGCCTGCCCATCTCTGCCTCCCGAGTGCTAGGATGAATGCTGTGTGCCATCACTCCTGGCAGTCTCTAGTTCCTAGAGAACACTGAACCAGCGTCCGGGGCACCCCTGGGAGAGCCAAGTGACTGGTAAACAGGAGACAGTAAGAGGAGGACAGGGCTGCAATGCAGGGCAGAAATGAACTCCCCATTAACCTTTCTCTCACCCCAGCTCGTGCTTGTCTCTGCTAAACCCATGGTGAACTGTGCTCATAAACGCCACAGAAAATTAAGTACACCTGCTAAGAAAATAAGTATTCAATAGTTCAAGAGCTTTATTGACTACAGTACATGGTAAGCCTGGAGAAGAAGCGATCACTTAAAAATACCAAAACCCTTACATAGCAAAGGTTAAGAAATAAATTAGGACTCCTAGTGGGAAAAGCCGGGGTGGGAGGGTGGGGATGTGGGGGGCTGGCCTCATTCACTTCTATCCTTGGGCTCCCGGTAGCTCCACTGGATGTAATCAAAAATGTCCTGCTCACTGTCCACTGGAAGGGGCTCCCCAGCAACTCCTGCAAGTAGAGAGAGAAAAGAAGTAGTTTGGGAAGTTAATTACCACAGATTGCGAGCAGGTTCCCTTTCCAACACAGGGGAAAGGAACTTAGCCACTTGGAAGAAGTTCCTGCCTGCCTGCCTCCACTTTCTGATAGAAGCCTGTATGCATGTTTTGCCACATGTTACCAGTATAACAGACCCTGGGTACCCCAACTGTGGCCAGGAAAGCTGCCCTAGTTCATGATTCTCTTTTTTTGCTGGATCTCTATTGTACCCATCATAAACTATTCTTGAGTTTTTCTGCAACCCAGACCGTGGCTCTTGAGCTAGCTGCTAGGACATCACTTAGATGTCGGGTGTGGCGGTACATGACTAGGTCAGCCTGGGCTGCAGAATGGAATTCAGATGCCTGAGTGCCCATGAAATTAGGAGCCACGTTTAATGAGGACCCAAGTGAACCGTATGCATGTTTATATTTGAAAAGCATGCTCCAGTCTTCGCGAGACAGAAGTCCTGCCTTATGCAACACTAAGGACAAAATGGCAAAGCTTCATTCTCCAAGTTGACACTACCAGTAAACTACACAGCAGGCTGTGAAATGTTAAACAAGATCTCGATTGATTTTGTGTGCTGTGTAAACATGCGTATGTCTACATGTGGTATGTGCATACCACAGGGGGTACACATGGAAGATAAAAGATTTCAGGGATCAATTCCCCTTCTACCACATAGGTCCCAGGAATCAAATCCGCTGTGGGAGGGCTACCTGCTGGGCCATCTCACCTATTCTTTAAATCTTAAAGCATGAAGTGAGAATAATTACCCAGGAATTATTTTGTAATTTTTTTTGTTTTATTCTTCCCCGTGAAGGTGGGGGTGGTGGGGATGGCACCTGGTCCTTATTACATGCTAAGAACATTCTCTGTCGCTGCCACGGTCTCAGGCATCAGTTGTCAGTGACACTGAAAGAAAGGACACCCAAGCTCTGCACAAGTCTCAGACACAGCCAAACAGAACCTCTTCCATCATACGATCCTTCAATGAGCATCCATCCTAAGGAGCTAGGGAGGGTCAAACAGGGCCTCGGGTGTGCAGGCAGGCACTGTACCAGTCAAGCTATGTCTGTTCTCACAGAGCTGGAAATCACTTTTGCCTTGTGCACCATCAATTGAGGCCCTAAAGATAGCTTTTATTTCCTGTGGGATTAACATAAAAGAGCTACAATTAAATGGCAGAATCACTAAAAAGTCTTCTAAGAAACTTTATTATATTAAAATGCCTAGTTTTTGAGAGGGGGCTCATGTAGCCTAGGCTGCCCTCAGACTTGCTGAGTAGCCCAGGCTGACCCAAGGCCAGCTGAGCACCTCTGGAAAGCACTTCCTCTGCTGAGGCAGTCAGGATACTCACCAGTCACCCCCAGGGGGCGGATGGTGTACTCATTGATTGTGAAACCCTGCTCTAGGGCGTGCGCTCTCATATTCTTATTAAAGATGTCGCTCCCAGTGAAGTAGAGAACACCACAGTAATACTGATCTTTGGGGATCAACCTTAGGGACAAAAAAAACCTTTTTTAACCACATATTTCAAGTTTAGCCAAGGTTTTCTAAAATCAGAATACTAAAGTAAGTCTATGTGGTCTAATATCCTAGGAAAAGCAGGTCGTTAGGTTGCAACTGGTCACTCGGCTGCTACCAGCTGCTGCTTTTGTTAACAACACTCACTACTCATAACTAAAGCGGGTTAGCCTTCGTCTTGTGCTTTCTGCTTTACTTTCACCATTGCCCCTAACCTTCCCCTAACCTCCTGGGTCACTTGGGGTCCAGAATGGGGGACCCTCAAATAGTGCAGGTCATCCTTCTGTCAAGGGCAATTACTCGTGAGGCTGAGGCTGCACTCACGAAGTGACCATCTTTCAAGAACACAGGGACCAGTTTGTAGGACCAAAGCAGACAGTGCTGGGTCTCACCTCCCTTAGCCCTGCTCTAATTCTTCCCTCTTAAGTCGGGGATGTCAACAGCTGTTATCTGTCCTTCCCAGTGCGGACACATGGAACCCATCTCTCCGAGCTTCTTACCAATTCTTGTCTTTATCTGACGTATGAGGACAGGCAAGTCCGGGCTGCCAGAGCCCAGGCTTTTGCCTCCAAGCTCCAGCTACACATGCAGTAAGGAATGCAGGTATGCACAAATGAAAAGCTGCCCCACTTACTACAACACGGCAGACCACGGCAGCTATGGCTGCTGCTCTGCTGAGGGGCAAATCTGGAGAAACTGACATCTGGGGACATTCGCCTTCTGTACTCAGGTCAGCCAACTCCGTATTCATAGAATTTATCATCCCCATATGTCTGCAGCCTCAAGGACAGGAGTGGAAAGGATTCAGCAAACACAATTTGAATCATACCTGATATCAATTCTTCTGTGTGGATATTCCTTTTCATCATCTTTACTGGGAAGCTGGCACACACCCTACATGGATATTTTAAACAATGTTTAGATGGCGTACACACTTCAGGCTTATTTCTCATCAAAGGCTAATGGTGCAGCGGCTGTGCGAGGCTTCTGCGCACTTTCATCGTAGCAGCAGGTCTAGGCTCTGGATGGAGACCAGGGCGCGTCCTGTGCATCGCTGCGCTGCTCTATGCTGTGTGTGGCCTTTGGCCGCCTTGTCCAGGGTGACTCTGTGTCACAGCAGCATTTGGCTCCATTCTGAGTATAAACGCAGAGGTGGCACAACTGTACCCTGCTGTGCACTGAGACCACCCACCTGCCCAGCACCACCAGCGAGGGACAGAGCAGTAACTCCTGCAGGTGAAAACACACGGACACCTGGATTATTTAAACCAGGTCTGCAACTTAATCAACCTGAAGCCCCTATTTAAAAGGGACATTGAACACTGTGCAGTCCAGAGTCCTAGGGACTTGTTGTGTCTCTACTGGGCATGTGTTAAAGGATGGACAGGCAGGGCATGCCCAGTGTCTTCCGTGTGTTCACCTGACCGTTCAGACCTAGTCCTGGACCTTGCCTTGGGTGTCCTGGTGCTTCTGCAGCTCTGCCTGACCCCATGACTACTCAGTCCTGCATGCTTCCAGCAACTCTCCAGCCAGCTTTGTTAACATCTTATCTAACCAGCTGGGGAATCACAGCTGTGTGGTAAACCGCAGTCTGTGGGGAGTCTCTATCTGTGCAGTCTGTAAACATTATTATTAGTCAGTGAATTCCAACACTGCAGAAAGCCATGTTCCTGACATGCTGTGCTGGGGACAGGATGTATGACCTTCACCTTCTCGCTCTACTCCTAACTAATGAACCACACGGGGGCAGACAAGGATGCTGCTTCTAGGATCTGGCCTTTGTGGGTTCTAAACTAGAGATTAGTCAAGGAAAGCACCAGGCCTGAGGACAGAGACTAAAACAATCATGAAAAAGTAACCTCAATAACATAAAGATCATGCACAAGGCAAACATACTGAGAAAGCTGCCAGTAATATTCAGGGACACCAAGATTATCTGATTCGTGAACAGGCAGAATATTACAGGTGACGAACAATCAAGGAAAGTTTAAATATGATATAGAAGAGTTTGGAGAAATCTTAGAGACAAAACAAAAACAATAAAGATTGAAAGACAAGACTGATCATCTTTCTTCTCTACACTTGAGTTTTCATTATACTTTTACAGCTTTTTAAAGATCTATTTCTATTTTAAATTCTGCCTGCTTGCAGGCCAGAAGAGGGCATCAGATCTCATTTTAGATGACTGTGAACCATCAATACGTGGTTGCTGGGAATTGAACTCAGGACCTCTGGAAGAGCAGCCAGTGCTCTTGACCTCTAAGACATCTCTCCATGGTCCCTGAGTTAAGTTTTATCATCTTTTCCTTTTCCAAAAAATGGGTAAAATATCTGTACTGTACAATAACAAAAGCATATGTAAATGTGCTACACACTTCACTATATCACTTTAAAATTAACAAAAGATATTTTTGTGCTTGTGTACATGCACAGAGAGGCTAGAGGTGCTGGGCCCTGTGGAGTTGGAGTCATAGGTAAATCGTGAGCCACCTAATATAGGTGCTGGGAATTGAACTCAGGTCCTCTGGAAGAACAGTGCTGAGCCATCTCTCCAGCCCCAAACCACTGTATGTCCAATTACAAGTACCTCCTGTCATATTCTAAGAACAACACGGGATCTAACGTACAAGCTTGTGTTACTAAAAGCCATGCTGTCTCACTCGCAAGACAGAAAAGTCTGATCTAAAGTGGGTATTTTCTTTAGCTGTTCTTCTAGCTGGAAGCTTAATGACTTAATGAAACACACTCATCTTCAATAATACGAAACATACCTTCCCTGGCATCAGCAAGTTTCCAGCTGGATTATCACGAGGTACTCAGTGGCAGCTAAGGGTGCCTGGATTCACAGGCTTGTCGTCTGTTGTAGAAATGGGTTTCAACTGCCTTTGTTCTTTTCCTCAAAGCTAGTTTTATTTTCTGATGTGCTAATGTTGAAGAATTCCTGTGTTGCTGTAAAATTCTTAGACTGCATAGATTTTGGTTTCATGCCAAGTGTCTAAAATAAACCCTTTTATGTTCTCAGAGAAGTCAAGATATCTTGTACTGTCACTTGAATGGAAACAAACTGTCCCGGACTCGTAAACATGTTTACCTCCATAACTCGGGCTGGTCACTACAGTACCCAGCGTGACATTTTGGTGGCCCTGATGTCACCCTTTCCTCTTTGGCTCGTCTTCACTCTGGTGCTGTGGCCAGCCGCCTGGACCACTGACAACTGACGGGATCTGGCTGAGAAGCCTCTTCAGTGAGATCCAAAGGCCTCTGGGCTGTGACTCGGCAAAGTTCAAGCTAGGGAGTTCCTGTCAGGCTCTCATGGGAAACCTTACTTGTCTGGAAATGAAGGACTCTGGCCAAGGCTATACTCTGGTAGGGGACCTGAAGGCAACGGAAAAAGGCGGTCATCCCACGGTAGTCTACATGGGTAAAAGACCATTTTTCTCCCTTCTGTGAGCCATCTCACTCTCAATGTGTGGTACAAGCAGCAGCAGCGGCACATCCAAGACTACACATCTGTGAGTGTTCCCAGTCTCTGTGCCTGCTCCTCCCCTCCTAAGACTACACATCTGTGAGTGTTCCCAGTCTCTGTGCCTGCTCCTCTCCTCCTAAGACTACACATCTGTGAGTGTTCCCAGTCTCTGTGCCTGCTCTTTCCCCTCCTAAGACTACACATCTGTGAGTGTTCCCAGTCTCTGTGCCTGCTCTTTCCCCTCCTAAGACTACACATCTGTGAGTGTTCCCAGTCTCCGTGCCTGCTCCTCCCCTCCTAAGACTACACATCTGTGAGTGTTCCCAGTCTCTGTGCCTGCTCCTCCCCTCCTAAACAGAATTCCTGATCTGAGAGACCTAAAAGTAGTCAAGTTTTTGCTTTCTTCAGGAAAATAAGTCCCTTCTAACAAACACACAGAGAGTTTTGATTTGTAAAACTTTTTCTGACCAACTGGTCAGCTTCGATTCTAGAATGAGACTAGGTTTACGTGAGAGTCACATGGACTCTAGTCTTGGGGACATCCATGCTAGAGCAAGCATCCACTGAGTCAATGCAGTGAAACTGGGTGTCACTCCTGACAACAGCAGGTCTGTTGCCTCCAAGGGGCACCTTCTGGGACACACTGCCCTTGTGAGTGTGTCACACTTCTACTCCCTGACTCACTGATGTCTTCTCAGTGATCTTTTCAATTTGATCCTCACAATTAAAAAACAAACAAAACCAAAAAAGTTTTTTTCCCCTTTGTAACGAAAGCAGTCTCTTACAACCACCCCAGGTCAAGAGCTCTGGCTACCTCACGGCACAGTGAGAGCTCCTGCATCCTACAGTCAGAGGAATGGACTCCAAGATCTACATCCAAATTTTCACGGCTGTTAGCAGGATCCCACACTGTGAAAAAACATCACATGTACCTTTCTAGGTCCTCCTACAGCAGCATCCATCTCCCTACACTTAGCCCTCAGATGATATCCTTTCTAGGTCCTCCTACAGCAGCGTCCATCTCCCTACATTTAGCCCTCAGATGATATCCTTTCTAGGTCCTCCTACAGCAGCATCCATCTCCCTACACTTAGCCCTCAGATGATATCCTTTCTAGGTCCTCCTACAGCAGCGTCCATCTCCCTACATTTAGCCCTCAGATGACATCCTTTCTAGGTCCTCCTACAGCAGCATCCATCTCCCTACACTTAGCCCTCAGATGACATCCTTTCTAGGTCCTCCTACAGCAGCATCCATCTCCCTACACTTAGCCCTCAGATGACATCCTTTCTAGGTCCTCCTACAGCAGCGTCCATCTCCCTACATTTAGCCCTCAGATGACATCCTTTCTAGGTCCTCCTACAGCAGCGTCCATCTCCCTACACTTAGCCCTCAGATGACATCCTTAATGACCTTCCCGTCACACACACTCCAGTTCCCGCTCAACCTCTGGCTTCTTTAGGCCCAGCCATCCTTCCACTGAGATACTGTCTTCACAACCCCATCCCATTACTCTTCCTTCTCCCCTGCCTCCTCCTCTTCCATGTGAGGAGCTCTCAGCACATTCCTAAGATTCAGTACCTATCCTACCCTGTTTGAGGTCCTGTCTTGACTGCCTTCAGTCATCAACAGTGATGTGGAGTGGAAGCCAAATAAACCCTTTCCTCCCCAACTTGCCTTTTGGTCACAGTGTTTCAATGCAGCAATAGAAACCCTAACTAAGACAGGAGGCTAACAAACAGCTACTCTTGCTACAATGGACTCCAACAACTTTCTGCAAACGCCTCAATAGCCTTTTAAAGTCTGGGGCATAAAAAGGCTTAAAGCTTCTCAATTCCTGGCCATTAGACTGCTATGATTGTGGTAATAAACCAGCGAGGCTGATCCTGATAAATGGTTCAAGCCATCAAACCAGAAAGGAGTCTGTGATCCCCCTTCTTAAAGAGCTGGTGGGGCTATGCAGGCTGCTGTGCTACTACTGGCTTGCGAAACAATAGCATGACTGTCTTAGGGATAATCAATGGCTTATTAAATCGGATATGAGGCTAGCCCATATGAGGAACATCACATCTGGCACTAGAAACCTGGTCAGATGCCATGCTTGGAGAGGACACGGGTCCTGTTGGGTTGGCTCCTGTGCTTAAGTATTCACCTCTAAGCACCAGGGCTGCGTTCGACATGGGGCAGAGAAGCCCTCTGCAGCAGGTGGCAGCTATGGCAGGAGAAAGAGCAGCTATCGTGATCGGTCCTAAATGGGACATCTATATCACACCCTGAAGGTTGAGGGAACTGGCAGAAAGCAGACAGGAGGAAGGGTGGGAATGCCATTTCCAGGCAGGACAGGGCACTGCACTCCTGAATTCTCTGTAGCCCTAAGTATCCCTGTACAAGAGTAGTCCCATCCCCATTCTGTTGTAGAGGGAGGACAGGCTCATGAGGCCATAACTCTATCTGAGGACTAATAGGCAGTTAAAGGGTACCAAAGGAGAGACGCATAGGAGGTTCAGCCTCTCCTAGGTATCTACACAGTGTTCATGGTGGTGACAGGTAGTCTCCTTCCTCTCTTAGTGGTTTAGGCACTGCTAATTGGCCCATGCATGTACAGTCTCTACTCATGCTCCAGGAACTGGGCCAGCAAACAACAGCAATACGGGAAGATGTGCAAGCAGAGGAGGACTGGTTGGAAGGAGAAGGAGATCGTTGAGTAGACATGGGGGACAGCCAAGGGTAACAAGGAATGATATGATCAAAATATATCACACACATACACGAGAATGTCATTAACATCTTACACATATGCATAAAAATGTTATAATGAAACTCATTACTGTAGTTAATATATGATAAAGAAAAAGCTAAGGGATCTGCAGAGACACACAGTAAGCAGAATGGTTGCAATACAAGCAGCAGGACTTGGGTTTGAGTCTAGTACCATGGTAGGGGAAGTGCACCCTTATAACCTCAGCACTAGGGAGGCAAAGTTAAGAGGACCCATGGATTTGCTAATCGAGCACCCAGTCTATACCAACCTCTGAGTCCAGAGTCAGAGAGAGTCTCTGTCTCAGAAAATAAGCTGAAGTCAATTGAAGGAAGCACCCAACAGTGACCTTTGGCCTCCACATCCACCACTTCCCGAGAATATATACACCATATACCTTAATCCCTGTTTACTAACTCTGAACACTGCCGTACCTAGGTATCTGTCACAGACATATATGGAAGAGACAAAGGCCATAGAAACAGCAGAAAATGCCCTGGCCTATAATGACAATTTACAACTTCATAAAAAATTCTTAATCAGCACCTTCCAGATTCTCCCTACGTCCTTACTCACCAATTTCATTTTCTCTCAAAGGAAAAAAAAAAAAGGAAAATCAAAGAAACAAAAATCAAAACAGAAAAAAAAAAAACAACCATTTATCAGTAAGACCAAAAATACCAAAACAAAATATTCACATACACACATAAAACCAAAACCATGGGGTCCATCTGGGCCTGGGGTCTGTCTTGCAGTGTGATCGAGTTGTCCAGTGAGATTCCCTTTCCCAGCAAAGAGCTCCTCTACTGGGGGTGGGGCTTTGTGCCTGTCCACTTCCCCTTCTCCGTGCTGGGATTTGTATGGTCTGAATCTGTGTAGATATCGTGTGTGCTGTCACATTCTCTGTGAGTTCATGTATGTTATATGTCATATCTGGAAGACATGTTTTTATGTTTTAAATGTTTCTTAATGTAAATTACATACACCCTCATCCTGGGTGAAAATCAAACTAAAGAATTAGAGAATGATCCTTATGCAAACCCTATTTCTATTTACTTTAAACTGTTTTATTTATTGTGGTGTGTGTGTGTGTGTGTGTGTGTGTGTGTGTACAAGCACATCGGTGGGAGTATGGAAGCCAGAGGAGAACTTTTGGGAGCCGGCTCTCCTTACACCTTTACGTGAATTCCAGGAATCAAACTCAGGTCATAGGCTTTCAGAGCAAGCACCTTTGACTGCTGTACCTAGGTATGTACAAGTGACTGGCCCCCAAACCCTACTTTCAATGCCAGCTCACATGTGCATATACTTCTGGACACAGTAAGTTCTCAAAATCTGACACATTTAAGACCCTTGTTTTCAAATAGTTTATAGTTAACTGACAAGCACGTTTTAATATATTTCTCAAAGTTCTTTAGAAAATACTGTGGCTAACTTAAGCAATACATGGTCATAGTCCATTAAAAATCACCATAGTTAATGACATCACTGTGTTGTGGTTAAATATACATAGCAAAAAAGTTCTTAGCCCTGGGGACGTTACAACTTGTGCAGCCACCATCTTGTCTACATACAGTGTTTCAATTTTTATCCCACCTAAACTATGTAACTAAACAATGCTTCAGCTAACATCCTGTCAGATCCAAGTGTCAAGGCTCTTACAAAGTTTAGAATGTTCGAGCTCAAAAGGAATGCTTTCCTTTCAGTCATGTGACATGGGAAAAACGCAGCACGGAGAAAAAGAGACCACACGAAGTAAACAGCATAAAGGTAAGTCAAAAAAACACAGCAAGAATATTGGACCTAGATTTCCATTAGCATTCCTGTTTTCTTATTCATAGAGATACATCTGTTTCCAATATATTTGCTATAGCTTGCTTTTTTTTTCTAATAAGGTCTCACATTGTAGCCTGCTGTAGCCTATAATTCACTATGTAGCCTATGTAGGACTTGAACTCATGGCAATCATCCTGCCTCAACCTGAGTGCTGAGTAAACATCTCTATCCAAAGTTCACAGAATTTTGACAGCTCAACATAGTGGATCTTAGAACTATCTCTCTCAGTGACCCTGCTACTTGCTCCTTGCGCATGGTTCTTCTCCAGTGTGTCCTATGATAAACCTGGATTCCTCTTCTCCCCCAATTGCTAGAACAGATTACTAATCAGGCAATTCTAGCCTCTCTCAAAAATCTTCAGAGAATATGAAATCACTTACTATTTTAAGAAAGTACTGCATGCCAGTCATTATGAATATTTTTAAAGAGCAAATTCTGCATTATATTTATTTTGAAGATTCAAATTATTGACAAAGAGTGTACAAGAAAAATCCTGATATTACTTTTACCAAGCTCTCAGAGTTATGCTATTTGTTTTATGTTCTTGTTTTGAGGCAGCATCTCTCTATGTATGGAGCCCTGGCTGTCCTGGAGCTTTCTATGTAGACCAGGCTGGCCTCAAACTCACAGGTATCTTCCTGCCTCTGCCTCCTGCTTGCTAGAATTAGAGGCTTGCACCTCCACACCCTGTAGCTATCTGTGATGGTAACAGAAAACTACAAGTCACAGATATATTTGAACACTTACCATGAACTTTGTTTCACCCTTTGACAGAGTGTCTGTAATGAAATGGACTTTCTGTAACTGCTCCACAACACGATGTAACAGCTTCGGCTGTATAGTTATAGTCAAGAAATAAAAAAAGAATACTGTTACAACAAGAAAACTCCCTCATTGTAAGATGGATCACATCTGCTTAGACATTCTGAGGTACCTGTTTGCTTGACTCTGAGGTGAAGTTTGGGTGGGTCAGAAGAACATCCATGTCTCCACTGGACTCTGCCCCTATGATAACAAAGAACAAAGACCTACTAACTAGGCCAAGCTAGAATGAAATAGAAGATACACATACACAGGCCTTACTTCCAACAGGGTAACCTTCTACTACATTGTAACTCCTATCTACTCAGGTGTACTGACAGAAACAACAGGATATGGGATAAACAATAGTTTTACATATTTCCACTCATGAATAAGCAGACTTAACTAATACTGTGGGTTTTAGTCCATGAAGTGACACAAATTACATATTTTTAATTCACATTGTCACATATACTAGTGACTTTACTATCAAGTCACGAATAACTCAAGACTGTGAAGTATGTTACCTCGTCTGAAACTGCCACAGACTGTAGCAATGTATTCGGGATCCACTCTTTTAACTTCGCCAAGTACAATATCCTAACAGAAGAAAAGCTAGGTCAGTGCTCCCAAACCAACAGGCACCCACACGCTAATGGAGAACACACAAGGAGCCGTACTTGCATCTGCAGCATCTCTTCACGAGGAATTCTTTTTTCAAAGTCCTCAAAATATCTAGGAAGACAGAGCAAGTGGAGAAAGATTTCTGTATAATCTCTTTAAAAATTGCCCCCATATAAGCATAGAAGCAGTCCTCTCTCCCTCCCCGTAATTTTGATTTTTATACATCAATTGAAAGTTATACCAATAGTTTTCAAAATTTTTGTATTTTAAATAATACCCCACAACATGGATGAACCTAAGAAAATAAGATGCTGAGTGAATAAGCCAGTCATGAAGGATGTGTGGACCAGCCAGAACAGGAGAAGTTGTAGAGGTAGAAAGACTCCTGGTTCCTGAGCTTGGAGAGAAGTGTGTGAGGGTCAAATGGGGAAGAACATACTAGGGTCCTTTAGGATAAGAAAGATGTCCTAAAACTGACTAGAATAGTGGTTGCACAATCCTATAAAAATATTAAAAGTTATCCAACTGTGTATTTTAGACAGTTTACTGCATAACATATAAACTGTATCTCAGGAAGGCCAATAGGATGATATCTTAGCATGAAATAGTGGCTACACATATGCCTAAGAATGATTGTGCAAGTGTCCAGAATAGTTTTGGGTACCCAGGCTCTTCAGAATACCTCAAAAATCCCCCTAACTCTCAGGTTCTCCTTAGACTACACAAATGCAAGGAATCGCAAGGCATAAACAGGAAAAAATGCAATTTGGAACAAATCAAGATTATATAACACCAGATACACACACACACAGTGCTAGTATACCAACACTGTAAGTGACACCTGCTACACAAAACCATTACGATGCTGACATACTACACTGCCATTCATATTTGAAATCTTTCTTATACTCATGTAAACTGTACATGCCTCATGTCCTTCTCAGACTGGGAGTAAGCTCCTGAAGAGCTACCTGAGCTGGGTGCAGTATCTCAGGTCTGGGTAGTCTGAGGCAAGGGAATCCCAAGTCTGAGACCAGCCTGGGCCACAAAAGGAGTGCAGGGTGAAACCACGTCTCACCCCCCCCCCCACCACCACACACACACACAGAGGACCACACCTCACCACTTGACAGTTTTTTCCCTAGACCCGGCTTTGCATGATGTAAACAGGAAGTGAACACCCACAGGCTATCTGATGTACTCAGATCTCAGTTCTCCGTATTTAAAAGGAAACTGCTCCCCAATTAAAGTTGAGAGAATGAAAGGAATTCTCAAAGTTAAAATAAAAAAGCTAGAATGTAATAATAAAACATATGAACATAAGCAAAAACTTTACAAGACTCTGCAACAAAATTTTAGCATTTCTGAATAGAAAAATGGTTGACACTTTTTTATGGCGTACGACAGAATGTTTACACACAAATATGTAACAACTGTTGAAGAAAGAGGTCCAAAGAGAGCAAGGCGAAGTCTGTGTGAAGGAGGGAGGAAAGGAAATGGAGAAATGCTAATATCTTATAATCTCAAAAAGTAAAGGAGAATGTCTCTGAAAGCTTTTACAACTCAAGCATCAAAATTAGCTATCTTACTTTAGCCCGATTCGTTGATGATGGTTCAATTTATCTTCATTTTTCCTGAGATCTGAATAGAAGATAAAGTTGAGGTGCTTAGTTTGAATACATTTTAGAAAAGATACCTTTTCTACAAAGAACTACGCTGAAGAAAAAGATATTAAAATGGTTTTCAAAACATGATGGAAAAACCCCACAGACACTGAGAACTAAACCCCACAAATACTGAGAACTAAACCCCACGAATACTGAGAACTAAGCCCCACGGACACTGAGAACTAAGCCTCACAGACACTGAAAACTAAACCCCGGGGACACTGAGAACTAAACCCCACGGACACTGAGAACTAAACCCCACAGACACTGAGAACTAAACCCCACAGACACTGAAAACTAAACCCCACGGACACTGAGAACTAAACCCTGCAGACACTGAGAACTAGTGAAAAAACTTTTCAAATCAATGCTGTAAACAGCTGGTTTTAAGATCATTTTTATGTAATACACCAAAATTTCAACTTGAAGTTGATGAAAGCAAACAAGGGATAAGAGGCAATCTTAATGGTTATAGTTAAAACACGGTAAACAGATCTAACATCGCTTACTATACTGTCTATAGCAGCAACAGTAACCACAGTTTCTTAAGGTTGACTACATTTTTTTTCTTGAGACTGAGTCTCATTATGTAGTCCTGGCTAGACTCGAACTCAGAGATCAGTCTGCCTCTGCCTTTCCAAGAGTTAGGTTTAAAGGTGTCCGTCACCATGTCCGGTCTACACTCTGTCTTCTTAAATGTGCTGGCTACCTTGTTCAGCTTGCTTTGAGATGAATTTGTGAAGACATGTGCTAAAACGCCTAATGGGGAGGGGGCATCATCTTTATCTTTTACTCTGCAAATGCTGTAATATTAATGTGAATGGCATGAATGTAATAGCAGCTCTTGTTAAAGAAAAAGCTTCAAATATAATTTGTTTAATCACCAGTATACTGATAGATACATAAGTTCCCTATGAAGAAATGGAGAATATGCATATTTATGACACATTAACATACACTACCTCCCAGAGAAAACACTCCCAAATACATCTGACATGAAATGGAAAGGATTGCCGGGCGGTGGTGGCGCACGCCTTTAATCTCAGCACTCGGGAGGCAGAGGCAGGCGGATCTCTGGGAGTTCGAGGCCAGCCTGGTCTACAAGAGCTAGTTCCAGGACAGGAACCAAAAGCTACGGAGAAACCCTGTCTCGAAAAATCAAAAAAAAAAAAAAAAAAAAAAAAAGAAATGGAAAGGATTACAAGTCTGTTACATAGTCACCATTATATTACATATGTGAATTATAAAATATAAAAACTAGGAGATTCTAGACCCTTTTGAACTATCATCTCACTGATTGATAAACAGTTTATGTTACAAGCAAAAAAGTACAAAATCCTCCAGAGACATACAGGCAGTTTATTTTCTGACTATTTGGCTCACAAGTAGTATCGCTAATATAAAGTTCCCACAAGTATGTTACCATCCTTAAAGTGTTTACTACTCACCAAACAATCTAAGAGCCTTACCTTGTTACGATATCGAACCTATGAGTCAGAAACACCTACCACATGGTCCAGAAACTGAAGAACTAAGCTCACTCACTGCAATGATGTATTGGGAGTGGCATTCAAACCTCCATCAGTTTCCAAACTCTGTCCACCTAACCTATCTGTGTAGCTTAAAAGTCGCCAAACCCACACCAATATTTCATCCTGTGCTAAGGGTGCACAGTGAACATCCCACAGGTGTGCTAATGGATCCACAGGTACTCTTGGGAAAGCACGAGGAGATAAGTTACATTTAAAGGGTGCTTACATTAGGTTAGAAAAATGTACTAAATTGTCTGGTTTAGGCTCTAACACCCCCCCCCCCCCATTTTTTGAAAGCAAACATTTCTCCAACAGCACTATGCATCTCTAAAAGAAACATTGTCAACATATAAAATCTTTTAGTCTAAGATGTCACTGTCTAAACAGTTTAGAAGCAAGCAATTTAGAACTTCTAAAAATTGTCAAATAATCTCTACTTATTTGTCTTTAAGCTGAGAAGTCTATCATGTGCTGTTTGAGTTTACTAAGAAGCTAACTTTCAAAGCAGGGATGCTTCCCCTTCCCCTGGTCCCTCCATTTCAGACTGAAGCACATGCGCCTCAAAGAGTCCTTCAAGGCCCTCTGAACTCTGTGCCAAGGGGCAAAACAGCCTGAGAGTAAGAATACAGCCCTGACAGGCAGATCGCTGCTAACACAGGTCACTGTTCTTTATCCCTGATATAAAAGCACCTGCAGTGGGAGAGAGAAGCTGGAGGGTCAGCCATGGGACACTCATCCATGCAGAAAGCTTCCCCAGGAATTCCAACTGACTGCTTCAACTTCTTCAGTGGATTCTGCGGCTATTGTGAGGCACCAATCTGATGATGTCATTTGTTGCTTGCTAGATTTGTTCTTTTACTCATAGGACTCCGCAAACGGGACACTGTTCTTTTCAGGACTCTCTCTACTGGGGACTTTACCTGGCTGCCTTAAAGGGGCTTCTCCAGTTGATTTGGGCTACATGTGCTAAGTCGGATTGGATAATGTTTTATCTAACTGCTACTTATCGTTTTTCTTTGGCTTGCTATTATATTTGCTGACTCAAAACACAGATATGGCTTTAGAGCTCATTTTTCAGCTCGTACAGCACAAAGCAACTTCCTGCTCGTCTCAGATTTTTGTCGCAAACCTAAAAAAGCCGAGGCCTGGAAGGTGGATGTCACCCTAGCTCTGCTCTCTACTGCACAGTGATGACCAATTCCTTTATCTGCATTTGTTTACTGAGAATGGGACTTTCAAGGTGACCTTGTTGGAGATTGAAACTGGAATTAGTGACGTGTGTGATACTTACCTTCTAATGTTTTAATTCCTTCATCTACAAACTTCCTTGCAGCAGATGGCCTACAACAACAAAACACCGTCTCAGAATCAAGTGAAACTCAAGGTCTTTATGATAATCAATTATGCCTTTTATTGTCAGGTACAGAGCTATTATTAAGGTAAACAAGACTTGCTAAATGCTGCACGGTTTCTTTGCTAATGTTCATCTTACCCAAAGACTTTTGAGTCTTATGTCAACTGATAAACAAGCATGAACTTGAACATAAAAAGACACCTAAGCAGCTAGCTATCATAATGTTCATGCACAGATATGTGGGCCCTTGAACACTCATTAACTCAACTGAGTCCCACACACACTGCTGGAAACACTGCATAAACAAGACAAATAACAGCGCTGGCATTTACCCACTCGTATGCCAGCAGGTAGAGAAAAACAACAGATATAAACATAAACAAGAAAAATGTCAGGCAGATGAACACAGCATGACACGACAGAGCAGCAGCATCTCAATGTAGACTGGCTAGGAAGTCCAGACTCTGAGATTCTGAGCTGATATATGGATGACAAAAAGCCGGCTGTTTGGGAGACCAAAAGGAAAAGAATTCAGATGGAGAAACAATTCACGAGAGCCCCACAGATAAGCATGAGCTTGGCTTGCTCAAGGAGGAGATTAGTACAGCCGAATGAGAGGATGATACAGATTACCACCATCCACTACACAGGAGTCACCTGCGATAGCACTCCATAAGCCATGGTGGTAAGTTTGGGTCTTCCTGTGAGCACAATGAATAGCTATGAGAAACGAGGAAAAGCCAGTCATAAAACCTACTTTAAGTTTATAGATTATCACCACAATAACTGGGCTCAACAATAAAGTGATGTGTTGTGGTAAACTATTTAGCTGGCAGTGGCAACAGGAACAACACCTCTATCTCCCAACCCCCTTACACTGTTAATTTTTGGTATTATAAAGAGAAAAGAAAAGGAGAAATGTGCACGTGTGCACACACACATATCAAGCACACTGGTCTGGGAGACTCAGCAAACATATTACATGTGGTGCAGAAACGAACACTGACGTTAGGAGGCACTGTGACAAAGAAGGAAAAACTGAACAAGGAGCCAAAAGACATAGTTTTTAACTCTGGCTATGCAAAAGCTGCTTACTTCCTATGTGTGTTTCATTTTTCTTTCCTGAAAAAGAAAATAATATACCAAATGTTCCCTAAACTACCTTCAAATAGACATTTTTAAAGTAGCCTCGGATCTCTAAGGAGTCACGCTGATTTTCAGTTATTATGTTTAAAACCTGAATAAAGGTCAGTTAATGAGGCAATTATACAGCTGAAGGAATGTCTTGATTCATAAGGATGAAAGAATAAAGTGCTATAGGCCTAATATTCCATGCTAAATTTTCATGTGTCCAGTGTTCAAGAAGTTCTCTTTGTTGCTAGCCCCAAATTAATATTAAGATAAAAAATTTATTAGCCCAAATTTTAAAAAGGGCTGTGAAGAAATCCTTAAGATAAACATGCAGCAGACACAGTCTATAATAAAAAGACGCAGAAGCAAGTGCTGGGTTTTGGGGGAAGAAAGCACTGTCTGGGAACCAGGCTGGTTCGGGAAGGTGGCAACACTACCTGCCCCGGTGGGCTAACAGAACAGCAGCTTGAGGACCAGCTGCAGATCCCCACACTATGCAAGGACGAACTGAACGGGCAAAGGCCCGAAGGTAGGTGGAGAAGTGCAAGTTCTGAAGGAAGAAGCATGTACTTTAGTTGGGTGACATCATAGTAAGACTGAGCTACAGCTCTGACTGCTTAGGAAAGAGTTCTTACCCAATGCCAGTAACGCGAGTCAGGAAATTGATGGACGAACTCGTATCATCCTGACGAATCTTTAAGAAAAACAATCTATTACTGACTTAGGAATGCTCTGTGAACTGAAGTGATCTTATTGGAAATACACCAAGATGCAAAAAGCAAAGCACAAATCATTGCATTTGCAGAGAACACACGTGACCTGAGTAGCTTGTGGGCGATAACAGAGTAGTAAAGACATCTCATCTCTAATTTATTCAATACGCACAGTATTTGGTTTTGGTTTTACACATATGTTGTAGGATGATAAGATCTACTGAACTACAAATGATCACCTTGTGTAGTTACTTTTGTAATATGAACATTTAATACCCACTGCCCTTTCAGTTTTCAATTTTCTAATACTTTTAAAAGGACTAGTCACAAAAGACCAAAAATTATATCCTAAAAACAAACAAAAACCATTAAAATGCTCAGAAGAGTTCAGGCACAGACTGAATAAATGAATGACAATGCTTTTTTCATCAAGACATATCACTTTGAATGGTACAATGAGAGGCAACTCAACTAGACAGTCTCTCAAGGGCCACATACGGCAATGGGAGAAGAGGTTCTTTTGTCTTTTGAGACAGTCTTACCATGCTGGTCTCAAACTCGTAATATCAAGACACCTTCCTTGCCTCAGTCTGCCAAATACTGCTGGTGCCACACACATGCTCCACCAATCCTGCCCACGGAGTGTTACAGAAGCAACATTTGCATTTTTAAAACAGGATGTTTAACGCCAATTATCACTTTTGCTTCTGGGTCTCACTAAGGTGAATTACGTCAATTATTCTGCTCTGTGCTATAAGGGAGGATACTGTGATCAAACAAAGAATTAAATTAAAATGTTACCTTTTCAAGTTTACGCAATTTTCCAGTTGCCAAAAATTCATCGATCTTTTCAGCAATTTTTGTTCCTACTCCCGGCTATACAGAAAATTAAAAATAAAGAAGTCATATAAATATAACATCTACCAAATCACTAAAAGATAACACTGAGGAGTAAGAAGCAAGGGTTTATTGGACAAGTTTTGAAGCAGAAAATACGGAAAAGCAAGCACTGGGAAGAAATTCCCCAGAATAAAATGCTTAAAAGAGCAACAGAGAAAGACTAGTAAATAACTTTATATTTATTTATTATGTATACAATATTCTGTCTGCATGTATGCCTGCTGGCCAGAAGAGGGCACCAGACCTCATTACAGATGGCTGTGAGCCACCATGTGGTTGCTGGGAATTGAACTCAGGACCTTTGGAAGAGCAGGCAATGCTCTTAACAGCTGAGCCATCTCTCCAGCCCTAGTAAATAACTTTAAATGACTCTTGTTTACACAGAATTAACTTCTGGGGGCTGGAAATGCAGGTGGGGGGAAAGTGGTTGCCTGGCTCATGAGAGGACCTGGATGTGCTCCCAGTACACACAAGTACCCTACTTTTATTATGGAGAACTGAGAAAACAGGACTGGCAAGACGGCTCTGTGGGTAAGGGCACTTGTTGCCAAGCCTGATGACTTGAGTGTAATCTGTGGAACCCACAAGGTGGAAGAAAGGAACAAGTTGCACGTGCACCACTGCGCACGCACGCGCGCACACACACACACACACACACACACACCCCAAATAAATTAATGCAAACAATTTTTAACTAAAAACAAAAACAACAACAAAGAGGGAAATGTGAAAATAAAGTTACACACAGTGTTAAGATTGCTTATTAATCTCATGGCCCTGAAAATTAAGTGGGGAAAAAACAATCACCTGTCCACCCATCCTCTAACATTCGCTTGTACTATTTAAATAAATAGTCTCAGTTAAATACTGAGACTCTCTGAGAACAGGGTTGTCCATGGTACCATTATAATTTTGTCAAATATTTGAAAACCAATCTAAGGTTCACAAGTAGGATATTTGTTAAGTAAATTCATAAAATGAACTAATATGCAGCCACAAAACTGCAGTATTTATTGGTAAAATAAATCTGTTTAAGTGTGCTAAGACAAAGTAGATATATTGCGACTAGAGAAAAGGTTCAACATCTAAGAGCATTGATTGCTGTTGCAGAAGATCGGGTTCAGTTCCCAGCACCTACAGAGTGGCTCGCAACTGTAACTTCAGTTCCAGGGACTCCTATGTCCTCTTCTGGCCTCTATAGGCTCCTGTATGCACATGGGGCACATAAACCCACATAACCACACACATATACACATAACAAAATTTTCTTTTTAATTAAAAAAAATAAAAGCTGGATAGTGGTGGTACATACCTTCAATCCCAGCACTTAGGAGGCTGAGGGAGGCCAATCAGAGTCAGCCTGGTCTAAGAGAGTGTTTCAGGACAGCCAGAGCTTCAGAGAAACCCTATCTTGAAAAACCATCACCACCAACAACAAAAAAGCAAATACACTCTTAAAACACAGAATACCAAGTCTCACCCTAGAGTTTCTGATTTGCTATGTCTTAGGTAGGTAGAAAGACCAGCAACCTGCACTTCTACGTTGCCACAGAGCACTGAGGCTACTACTCTAGGACACCCCCAGTGAGAACCACTACCAGACTGACACATCCACAAGGTCTTGCCAGTATTACACTAGTCACACGACAATTTAACTGTACTTGAGACTTTGTGTTCTTCAGCTACAGTAACCGCATTTCAAGAATTCAATGGCTAGAGGAGGCCCATGGTTGCCATACTAGATAGCAGTCATCTCAAATGTAAACCATGAAAGAATAATGATCCCGTCTTTTTACTGCATTTCCCCAGTGCTTATGCATGTACTTGCTCAAGGTTAAGAACTAGTGAATTCTTGTTATTTATTAGCTCCATGAGGACCAAGTCTTTGAAGTGAAAATCCTGGGTCAAAATATACACATTTCATAGAGCCACCTTTAATGCCAGTTCTGCCAAGGCTGAAGCAGGAGATCTGTGGGAGTTCCAGGCCAGCCAAAGCTACA